AAAAACCCAGTTTAAAATTCCCTGAATTTCAGACCCCAACTGATACAAAAAAACATTCGATACGAAAATTTCCTGATTCTCGGGAGAAAAAAACAAATCCAGTTTTCCCGGGAAAATCGATAAGAGAAACAGAGGATTGTGGTAAATCGCAACAGTACTCATCTCTTTGATCAAGAAACTGATAACTCGACAAAAAAACAAAAAACCCAGACTAAAATTCCATGAAATTGAGAGACCCAACTGATATAAAACAAAATTCGATACTAAAGTTTACAGATTCCCGGGGAAAAAAAAAAGCAATCCCAGTTTTCCCGGGAAAATCGATAAGAAAAACAGAGGATTTTCGAAAATTCACCTGGAAAATTAAGAATTTTTTGTTTTTCTGGTCGAATATTTAACTTTTTCGGATTGTTGGTTAGATTACGTTTGAATCTCCGGTGACAAATTTCGCTCCATAGTTATATAGAACTGAGAAGTGAGACACACCAGAAAGTTCGAGAGAAAATTTCTGGAAGCTACTAGTGATCTGGAGCGTACACGTGTCATTGGCAGAAATCTTTCTTGATTTATTGGGCCGTGAAAGTTTATTAGGCTATAGCGCATTAGATCTAATTTATTTGTAATATTCTTATAAGCATTTTAAACCTTTTTAGTTGAGGAAAATTTGGTTGTATAATCACAAAAACAAAATCAAAACTTACAAACTAAGGGTGAAATTATTATCCGGGATCCGAGAATTGATCCGTTATCCATTCAGAATCGCTTCAAAAATTAAGATATTCGGGGAGTCTGGATCCGGAGAAGGATAGTAAAATCTAGGATCCGTGAAAAGAAGATCCGGATAACAAAATTTTAAGGTCCGGATATCCGGATCCGGATCCGAACGCATTAAATATATTAAAAAYATATATATTATATATCTATTAAGCTAATTTTATATAAATAAATATTTATAAAAATTGATTTTAGTTTTTTTAATAAATTATATTTATAATGAAAATATCATTTAAAATATTAATTAATAATTTTTAAAATATATTTTTATTTATTTATTAATTAATTTAATTATTTTTAATATTAATTTCCGGATCTGGATATCCGCGAATATCCGTTTTTTTGGCCGGAT